TTGTTTATATCCAAACCTCTGGCGCGCCGAGTAGCTCGGGCCGCCAGTGCCGCGCGGATGGTGGCCCGCCAGGCCGCCGTCGTGCCGGGGGCCTGTGGCGGCGCCCAGCCCAGGCCCGTAGGCTTCATTGAGCGCGCTTCACTACTCTTAAGTCGGCCATGTCCTTCTACAGGAGGAATATCCAGAAATTGTCTAAACATAGTCAGTTGATGTTTTTTTTGTTTTAGTATGTTGCCAATGTTAGAATATTTGTGTTGGCCATCTTTCACTTTCCCTCCAGAATCAGCCTGTAGGGGGACATGCCCGACCTAACACTACTAGCAAAGTGCCTACCCTCAAATGTTTGGAACACATTTGTTCGCCTCGATGTTATATATCGTGAATTCCCCGCGGCGGATCGAGGCCAAGAGCAAGTAATTGCTCTGCGACTGCGTAGCGCCAGCTCGGCTCTGGCCGCCGCCGGGCGTGCGGCCTGCGAGTCCGCGCCGGGCGGCCCCGCGGCCGCTGCTTCCCCGAGGGCCCTCTCCCCCTCTTCTCCGCGGCGCCCCCCTCCGCGGCCGGGGATGTCGGCCCCGCCTTGGCTAGCCACTAGGGCGCCTGCGCGGCCTCGGCGCACGGCCGAAGAGCGCCGCGCCCAGGCCGGGCGCGCGCAGGCGCGGGCAGCCCAGGCGCTGCTCCGCGCCTTAGGCTCCCTCCGGCACCGGGGGTGCCGCCCCACGCGCGTGGGCGCGGCGCTGGCTGAGGCGCTCGGCGCGGCGGCGGTCCGTCGTGCTTCCGCTGCCCCGCCGCCTAGGTGCGGCTGCTCTTCTTGAGCCCTGACTTTGCGACGTTCGGCGCGCAGGAGGCTGTGCACCTTGCGGAGCTCCAGGTGCTGCGGCGGCCGGCGCTGCTGGCTTGGCGGCGGGCGGCCAGGCGGCGGTGCCTTCGGCGCCTGGGGTGCTCGGCCGCGCGGCTCGAGCTCTTCGGCAGCGGCGGGGGCGGCGGTCGCCGAGTTCCCGAGGAGCGGCCTGGCGCGCTCCCTGGGTCCCGCGCCCAGGGGAAGCAGGCGGGGGGCCCGCCGTCGGCGGCCTTCGGTGGAGGCGTGCCCGTCTCCCCCTTCGGTGCGGGCCAGGAGCCGGCCGCTGGCCTCGCCAGCGTCGTCGGGCAGGGTCCTGCTGGACCCCCGACGGCTTCACCCGATGGCGAGAGTGCGCGTGTGTGCGGTGTGCGTGTGTGTGTGTGTGTGCGTGTGTGTGTGTGTGTTTGTGTAAGGTGCGGCCCGTCCCTCGCGGCCTGGTGACAACTCTCGGCCTGGAGCGCGTCGTCAACGGGCAGGGCACAGCAGCTCTGCGCCTCAGCGGTGCCTCCCTCGGGCTTTTGGGGTTGTTGGATGTTGCTGACGCCTTGGAGACGGTGCAGCAGCTGGTGTTGTTCAACGTCCACGGCCCCCCGCCGACCGCTGGATATTGAACGTCGCCCGCTCCCCTTGGCCCCTCGGAAGCGGCTGTGGCGCATGTTGTGAGGTGAGCCGTCGGCGGCGTTGCAGATGTGCGTAGTCGCGTAGTCCGCGCCGCGGCTTCTCTTTCATTCTTGCATGCGCGGGTTCGCCCTCAAATCCTCCGCGGCGGATCGAGGCCATGAGTGAGTAGTTGCTTGTGCGAATAATGGAACACGCATGTCAAAGGCTGCCAGCGCCGCCCAGCACCCCCCTTGTAGCACCCGGGGGGGCGGGCAGGAGAGCCAGCGCCTCCCGCGGGCGTCGCCAGGGGCCGCCTCTCGTCGGTCCATGCCGGCAGGCAGTGCTGCGGGGGCTCGCGCAGGCGGTTTTATGTTGTTGTTGCGTAAGCGGGGCATTCCAAAAAAGGCCGTGCCTTCGAGGAGATAAGGAGCTGCCATCTTTTCCTCGGCGGAGGGGCGGCGGAAGTAAAGCGAGGCCGCCTCCGCCGGCGGAAGCCGGCGGAAGGGCGGCGGACGGTGGCGGAAGTTCAAAAAATGCGCCCCCAAGAGATGACAACAATTTTGGGTTCAGGGTTTCCGGAACAGGCCATATATACATAATATGTATACAGGTACAGAAATCAAATGTAAACAGATGTTAAGATCACATGTGTCCCTAGTTTCCCGAATCGGCCCCAAACCCTCGACTGGAAGAGGGTTCCCGCGGGCCGAGAAGCTGGCGCCACGCGCTCGAAAGAGCCACGGGAAAGGGGAGGATGACGACCACTACGGGAGAGAGGGAGGGAAGGGAGGCAGGGAGGGAGGCAGGGAAGGAGGGAGGGAGCGAGGGAGGAATGTGGGAGGGCGGGAAGGAGGAGGAGGAGGAGGAGGAGGAGGAGGAGGAGGAGGAGGAGGAGGAGGTCGGCAGCGGCGGGATGAGGAGGCGGGCGGGGAGGGGGACGACGCAGGAACGATAAATGACCTTGGAAAAAAGGGGCTTTGGATGTACCTGTTGCCGCGAGCAGGCGTGGATGGGACGGCCGTTTACGCGACGGTTTGGATGGACAGCACGTTCATGGACGAGGACGGATGGGGCCACGTGCGGCAAACAAGAGTACCCAGCCCTCGGCATGCCCTTTTTGGGGGCGCACTTCCTACTCATCCTCCCCCTTGCCCTCCAGCCCCGACCTCCCGCTCACCATGCCCATGCCCTCCTTCCTACCCCCTCCTCCTCGTCCTCTTCTTTCTAGCTGGTTATTTGCGTCCTCCTCCTCCTCCTCCTCCTCCTCTCTGGTCCTTTTCGTCCTTTTTCTTTTCCTGCCGCAGTAGGCGTTTTTGGCCCAGGCCACCCCCGCATGTCCCGACGAAAACGTCGCGGAGGAGGACAGGGTTTGGAAAGGGGATACCCTGTCCGTCCAGGTGGCCGCACAAGACGCTATACCTGTGGCCGGTTATCGCTCCCTGTGCTTGTCGAAATCGTGGGGCTGTTGTCGCGGGCTGTGATCGCAGCGACGTGTGAGGACCGCATTACGCGGGAGCAGGTGCAGACATTTCAGCACACATATGCCATGCGACGCTATTGTCCAAACGGAAGCCCAGAAGAGCAAGCCCTTGCCCTCTGTCGCGCAGGGGCATGGGAGCTATGTATTCGATCATGGGGGCACGTTCGCGCAGGTCAAAGGATCGGTTCTCCCTGGAAGGAGGAGGAGGAGGCGGAGGAGGAGGAGGGGGAGAAGGAGGAGGAGGAGGAGGAGGAGGAGGAGGAGGAGGAGGAGGAGGAGGAGGAGGAAAAGGAGGAGGGAGGAGGAGGAGGAGAAGAAGGAGGAGGAGGAGGAGGAGAAGTAGGAGGACGAGGAGGAGGAGGAGAAGGAGGAGGACGAGGAGGAGGAGGACGAGGACGAGGACAAGGACGAGGAGGAGGAGCGACAAAAGACTCAGGGCACCCCCCCTGCGGGCCAGCGGCTCCGCCCAGCCCGCGGTTGGCATTCGACGCACCGAGCCGCGGCCCCACCGCTCGGCCGCAGGAGGCCCTCTGCGCGGCTCGGGCACGGCGCGCGCCGCGGGGCCCCCCCGCGCGGCCTCGGCGGAGGAGTCGCGGTGGCCAGGCTTGCAGCCCCAAGAGCTGCGAAAGGACGAGCCGAAGCTTGCCTCCTCCGCGGGCACCGAGGTCTCCAGCACGTCTGGGGCACAGGAGTCAGAAGACGAGCTGCAGAAGTCGCGGCGGCCGGGCGTGCGGCCACGTTTGAGGACCGCGCGGACTCGGCGTGCGGCGCCGGCTTCCAGGCAGCGCCCGGGCGTCGTGCGGGCGCGGGGGGGGTGGAGGCCCAGGTCAGAACCCGCCGACCGTTCAGCTCGCGCCGCTGCCCTGCGCACGAGGGGCAGGCCTTCATGGCATCGAAGAAGCCGCCTGCGGCGAGACACCTCGCGCGCCTGGAGTTCTTCACACGGCAGGGGACACGCATGTTGTCGAGGAGGTTTTGGAGCAGTTGGAGGGCTTCCTGAAGTTGGTTCGACAGGGCAGTGCCCGTCACCAGGGCAGTGTTTGGTGGCCACTGGGGCGGGTTGCAACCGCAGCCTTCGCGTTGAGGAGAGAGCCTCGCGTCATTGCCGACATTGATGTTTATTTATCGGGGCTGGACAGAACCCCTAACAGTGACACGTCGATTAGTGAATTGTCCGTTTTCGGTTCTCGAGAGGGCGCCGTGGCCGTCATTTTCCAGGCTTACGCCCGCCAGGTTTGGGCCTCAGGTCGTTTTCGCCAAACCACGTTTTGCTAAAGGGGGGTCTGTCCATCCCCGAATTTACTCGAAGCTAAATGGCGAAATGCAGGAGAGCAAAGATGACATTGCCAAGGATTTCCTTTGTCACTTACGTTTGGGATGTTGTCCTATTGGAAGGGGTTGCAGACATGTTAAACGTTTACGGCATCTGCGGCATGGGTCATGACGTGCAATCTGCGGCGACACGTAACGTCCACCAGTTTTGCAGTGGCGTGAAGTCCAGCAGGTTTCGGCATGACCGCGCCCACGCTCGACATGCGTAACCAAGACGTCGCGGGCGTGAGTTCGGTGTCTAGTTCCATCGAGACCGTTGTGGCAGCAGTGCCAGATGACATCTGCTGACGAGCGCTGGCGGCGCGAAAGTGGACGCGCGAAGATTGCCCGCGTAGAGCTCGTGTTCCAGCTCGAGCTCAAGATTGAAGCCATCAAGAGCGCGCCAAGCGCTCAGGCGCGAGGTTCGAGCCTTCGGGCTGCGCGTAAGATGGCTCGAGTATAGGTTTGGAGCCCTCGTGGGGCGCGCCCCGAGGGCTTGATCCTCGCGCCCGAGCCCCTTTGTGGCCCGCGCCGGGCCTTCGAGCGCGAGGTTCGAGCCCTTGGGGTTCTGCGTCGCTCACATGGCAGAAGAGGACGAGGGGGAGGAGGAGGATGGGGAGGAGGATGAGGATGGGGAGGGGGAGGGGGAGGAGGAGGGGGAGGAGGAGGAGGAGGAGGCGGAGGAGGAGGAAGGGCTCGAACAGGATGTTCGAGCCAACTCTTGCGCAGCCCCCATGGGGGCCCGAAGATGGCATCCGATCCCTCGTGGGCGCGCCCCGAGGGATCGAGAGCTTCGCTGTTCGAGTCCCCTCCGTGGTGCGGAGGCATGCGGAGACCAGAGAAGGTCCCCGAGGCTTCGAGCATTGCCTGCGAGCCCTCGGGGGCTGCGCCCAAAATCTAGAACACGTCGTTCGAGTCCTTCTGTCAACGAGGGCTGGAACGCCGCCGCGCCGTTGTTGCCGTCGCCGTCGTCGCACTGTCACCATCATCACCGTCGTTTTGTCGCAGTCGTCGTCGTCGTCATGATGGGTCCTTCCCTGGCAAATTCGATGGGGAACTCTACGAGGACCCCATGGAGAAATGTACAGATGCAGACCCTTATACGGAGAATCCCGCGAAGATCCCGATGGATGGCCTCAGGGAGCATTATTCATAGCCTTACGGAGGAACCCATGAGAATTCCTATCAAGTGCCCGATGGGGGAATTTGATGCAGAGGACCACGGAGAAGTCTTTGGAGAACACTCTGGATGACCCTAGCCAATTTGCCTGCGGCAAACCCTGCCACCGCTCCAACGTAGCAGCGACTCATGAATGGAACTGAAGTTGCGGCCCGCTCCAGGTCATTGGCATGTTTGCACCAGCGCGGGTCTTGAACACTCCCTCGTATCGTCCTCCTTTGCCCTCTTGGAAGCATCCTGGGCGCTTTTTGGGGGCACCGCCGGGCCTCTTCAGGATATTTTGCACATTCTCGGCGGCCTCCTGAGAGCCCTTCGGGGTTCACGGTGCCGTCTTGGGCGCGATGGTTGCCACAGAGTTCTCTCGAAGAGATTCGGTTGAATCATCTTGGAAATGTGTGGGCAGGTCTTGGGACCGTCTCACCATCATCATCACCACGACCACCATCATCATCATCATTATGCTGTCCGCGGCTATGTGTGGCTCTCTTTCGGGCCGCGCTTCCATTCTCAAGTCTCTCAGGTGTCTTGCTCAGTGATGCAAGACATCGCCCACCATGCGGCGGACGTCCTGAGGTACGGGGCGCAGGCGCTGGGGGCCACGGTCGTGGCGCGGGCCGCTGCGCCCAGCTGCGGGGCCTGCTCGCCGCAGCTGGCCTGCCCCGCGACCCCGACCTTCACCTGCCCCTCCTGCGTCTGCGCAGGCGCGGGCGGGCACGTGGTCGAGCCCTCGTGCGTAGGCCTCGTCACGGCCTACTCGGTGGCAGCGCTGACCGTCGGCCTCGTCGTCGGGGCCGTGGGAGGTGCCTGGGCTGCGCGGCAGCTCCTCGGGCAGCCCGCCCACCAGCCGCCCGCCGTGGCGGAGATCGCGGACGGCTTCGACATCGCCACCCTCGCGGCGCAGCAGGTGCGCGACGCCCGAGCCCGCGCCCCAGCACTGCAGTGATGGCGGGCAGCTTCCACGTGGTGCGCTACCGCGTGGGCGGCGTGCCCTTGTGGCACGAGCGCCTCGCGCTTGGCGTCAACGGGGGCCTCGCCTACATCCTCTCTCCCGACTTCGACGACTACGACGAGCCCATCGTCGTCGGCCCCGACGTACGAGCGGTCCTGCAGCTCGCGGGCCAGGGCGACACGCCACCAGCCTTGGCGGGCGCCGCGGTGCACCGCTTCCGCCGCCTCCCGACGGCCGCGGAGCTGTGGGCGGCTGTCGCCCGCTCGGTGGCCGCGGGCTACCCGAGACCCGCCGACCCGCTGCCGCTGGCGCTCGCGGCGGGCAACGTGGCAGGCGCCCCGCCTGGTCCCTTCCCGCTGGCGGACCCTGCGGCTGTGGCCGCCCTGCCGCCTGCGGCCTTGCCGCCACCACCTGGCGGGGGAGGTGCGGCCCCGCCCGCGGGGGCTGCGGCCCCGCTGGCGCCACCCCCCGCGGCAGCGGCCGCTGCGGCGGCCCCTCTCGGCGTCGTCCCTGGCGTCGCGGCGCTGGCCGCCGCGTTGGGGCCCGTCCCGCCTGGTCCCGCGGGGGCCTTGCCGCTGGTGCCAGCACCTGGAGTGGCGGCTGCACCACCCGTCGCCGCCCCTGCAGCGCCCGCCCCAGTCGGCGACTTCAGGATCCCCCCGGTGCTGCTCAACCCGCGGGGCGAGCGCGAGAGGAGGTTCGGCGAGACCGTCAACGCCTTCTCGGAGACCGCCGTGCAGGGCTGGCCTGTGCAAGGGCCGAGGACCCTTCTCTGGTGCTTGTCCTTCATGTCGACGATGGCGGGTACGCCTACAGCGTGGCACCAGAGGTGGCTTGCGTCGATGGCTCTGCCCGATGAGGACGAGCACGCGAAGCTCCACGAGACCCTCTGCCGCGTCTTGGACCTCGCTGTCGTGTATGACCAGCTGCAGATCGCCGAGATGGCATCGTTCGAGATCGTCGCCCGCCAGCTCCAGCTCCTGGAGGAGCGGGTGTACGAGGCGCGGGCGGCACCTCCGGGCGGCGCTGCCCCCAAGGCCAAGGCCGCTGCCAGAGGCGGCGCCGCAGCTGGGGCCTCCACCATGCCCGAGACCAGCTACTTCCTCGGCGAAGGCGTCTCCAAGGCCAATCTCTGCATCTCG